GGGGGGGGCGTGCGGAGCCAGCATGAGGTAAGCGTCCTGCTGCGATAAGCAATCGCAGAATGCGCAGCCGCTGCGTACGCGACAATCTCGACTGCGCGGCGCAAGTGGCTGTTGGCACCTGCTATAGTTTCGCTCTCAGAAGAACCCTCGCGTCCGACCCTTCGATAGCGGACTGCAAGGGATAGCCAACCACCCTTCCCCCCTTCCCTACTTTTCCTCCCTCGAATTCTCGACTCCTACTCGATGGCGACCCATGCGCATTGTTGAAGTACTTCAATCAATCAAGAAAATCAATATAAATAATCAATCAATCAATATAAATACAACCATATTGCAGTACGTTTGTAGCAATTTGAGTTTCCTCTGGTTATCCGGACTCTTACTGCCCAAGTCCCGCCCCCATGAGTGACAGGTGTGATGGATTTTTACTACATTGACTGCGAGCGCTCGCGAAATATTCTCCGTGATGTGTCGCTGTCGGTTGCTCGATGTAGCATATGCGGGAGAATGCTCTGCGATAATTTGAATATCGTGTTCTTCTGAAATGTGTTTCCGAAGACTGTCAGTTTACTAGGATGTGAACTCTTCTGATCGCTTTTGTGCAATTTCGATCTTCCCTTCCCCTTCCTTGTCCTGTCCTCACTCCCTTGCTTGCACGCACATATCCAATAATGTGGATACATGATTTTTTAACAAGGGGAGAGCTTACGCCCACTACATTTCCACACATGCCGTGAGAATGTCGGGAACCTAGAGCTTGTCCGGACTGGGGCGGTGGCCCGCTGGTTGAGGAAAAAACGCCAGTCGACGGTAGGGCTGCGCCATATCTCACCATCCAGCGGGACAAAATCTCCGCCGTTTCCCGAGGAAAACATGCACTACACTTACGCGGCTAATGACCTTAGCAGTTGACGCGTCTGGTGTCACTAATTAACCAACCAACTTCATGTAATTTAAAATTCTAATAAACGTACTACATGAATTCTTCTCCCGAGGCGTTGTTTATTTTGCCTTCAATAGCGGTTTAGTGCTCTCCTTGTTAAAAGATCATGTATTCACTTTAATAGAGATTTCTTTTGTTGTTAGGTCTCGATCTGTTGAACTAGAATTGTATGAATTTTGAATTTCGTCATTACTGTCTGTGGTTTCAACATTTCATAATTTTCTAATATCATTTGAGGGTTCACAGGAGCGCATGATTACCTAATAAATAATCTCCTTATGTTTGGAGAACTATCTGAAAGAAAAATAAAATATTTGGAGAAGTATGTGTAGATTATCATTTTATAGAATTCGCTTTGATCCATGTTTTGTTAATGGTGGTCTTAACCATTGATTATCTGCTTTCGTGGGATGTAACATTAAAAATATATTTTCAAAATTATTGTTAGTAATTGTGTCATATATGTTGACAGGTAGGAAAAAATGTCAAAGGACGCCTTAATGTATTTTCTTGTCGAACTTCCGCTAATGAATCATTCAAATTGCAAAAGGTACGACTAGTACCCGGATGTTCAGGTATTTTTTACTTAAAATAGATAGGCAATTGCATTTATTCTTGCTAAAGTATATGTGCAGAGGCATGTAAACGATGAAAAATCCCATTTAAAAGAAATTCATGTAAACAATTAATATTAAAATGATTCACATTTGTATTCTAACTGTAAAATCTGCATTAGCACTTATACGTGATCTTTTCTTTCTGATCGTTATCCACCATCATCCTGTATGATGTCTAGAAATTTAATAACAAAAAATAATTTGTAATAAATAACAATAAATCGCTAGATTTGTTAGAAAAAATTGATTTTATAATTTAATGACGCATAAAATTGGTAAACTGAAAGCTTCATCTATTTTGTTTGGCCACTGTTCGATTATTTGTGTTTATGATCGCAAATGATACTATCTTTAGAAAAGAACTTTGCTGATTGATATGTCAAAAGGTTGACATTTACACAAGAAACCTTCAACGAAATTTGTTGAGTAAATGACCTTTAGA